ATCAGCATGAAGGCCGCGTACACAAAGCATGACAATTAGGACGATGATGACACCTACAATGATGTGAATGAAGGAAATAACAATGTAAGACCAACTTACTTGGACAATGTGGTCCATTCTACCGTCATAGATCTGGACGTTACCCGGCCCATCCAGATAGGTCCGGTCTTCATCTCTAATGGTCTGGGAGATCACCTCATGGCCGTCAATGATCTCATTGAACACATCGCCTTTGACGGGATATTCAACCTCGAGCTTGTAAGTCCCCCTGACCAGCTCTTTGCCGGACCGACTCTTCCGAGAACCTTGGGCTTCAGGGGAAGGCTGAGAGACACCAGCGGACGAGGGGCCAGAGGTGAGGTCCACGATGACATCCACGGTGGATCCTCCGTTGTCTCCAACTGGGACGGCTAGGGTTCCGGCATCAATAGCAGCCGAGGGAGAAACCCTCTTGGACTTCTTGAAAGACTGCAAACCAGCCTCAATCAACTTCTTTTGACCGTCGTCCGCCGACCGCTTCTTCTTCGGCTGAGTGGGTGGTTTCTTCACCTGATCGGAGCTAGGATGGGCTCCACTAGCCGAGGTCTGCTTTGCAGCCTCATTGGCCGCTAATTCCCTGGCCGCTTTCACTGCATCCCTCTTCATAAAAGATCTGCGGTCCATGACGAAGCCTACACAACAAAAACAAACAAGAGGGGAGGTTAGATATGAATAAAGGCAACGACAGGCACCAAGGATGCTAGGAGGTTATTACCATCGGCCTCAGTAGGCACACCCAAGTAGGGTCCCTCGGCCTCTTCGTAAGAATTAGTCATCTTCGGCCACAAGTCATCATCTTCGTCGTCTCCATACACAAAGTACCTGAAAAAGTTGAGGGCGGCCATCCTGTACTCGGTGATGTAATCCTTCACACTCCTCGGCCCGCCTCTCAGAAACGCCTCCACCTGAGCATTTAAAAGTGCGCTCTTCGGTGCCTCATGGAGATTGAACGGTCCGGTATGACTGACTGAAGGAAACTCGGTCCCCCCTTTGCCCAACGACACAAAAACAAATTTACTCTTCCAGCCGTGAATGGACGAAAGAAGGTCAGTAAAAGACCTCTTGTTCTCACCTGCTGGAGGTTAGCATAGCTTGCACACTTTTTATGGCTGCCTCGACTTATCTGGTATAGGTTCATGAACATGTAACTGTTCGGGGTCAGCAAGGCTGGAGGAAGGTTCACCATGTCCAAATACTCTGTGATGAACAGATGAAGGGAGAACCTAAGCCCCTTGGCAAAACTCATGGGATATACCCCGAAATACCCCGTCGGAGGATTGAGAACATGATCCGTCGGCCTGGGTGCCTTGACTCTATCGTACGGCCCAACGTACATCTCGGCGACGTAGTATTCACCCATGTTGCTCTGCGGCCGGATGATATACAGGTTGGTAAGATCGAGGTAGGACACACCCGGACCCTTCTTCGACCGGCGCCTCTTCTTCGATGAAACATCCACTACGAGACCTTTCCCCTTGACGGCAAAAACCGGGTCGGGGCACGAAATGGTAGCCGATGTAGAGACCCCGTCCATTGCAGGAGAGATCCCTACATTCTCACCCTCTGATGACGAGGCAGCATCCTCGTCCATGTTCTCCCCGTCCCCCTACTCCCCTGATCTTAATGGGCTCAACTCCTCAATCTCATCGCAACACTCGACCACTACTTGGTAATCAAGGGACTTGGCAGAGACCTCATCATCATACGGGTAGTACTCTTCGTTCAAGGACTTCATAACAACTACTCAGAGCCCTAAGAGGGAATACTGGGGATCTAAAAGGCGTTTTGACTAACACTAGATCGAAGCCCTAAGGGAGCAAAAGATGCAACAATACAGAAGAACAAGTGAATAACTAACCTTGAAACTGTTGAGGAATGAAGAACACTGATGAATACTTTCTCTCTCTATAAAATCCAGCAGCACTTCGTTAGCTCAGGTTACAAATGAGCATCTCACTTCGGAGGGAAGGGGTACTTATAGACCTCCTCCCAACGGTCACTACACGTGGCACCTGCCAAGTGATCACACGTACGGCCACCACCCCAAGGACCAATGAGGTTCCACCGCTTCAAAGATGGGCCTGACCCATTTCCACCACTATTAGCAAGTTCCAGGGGATACACAACGGTTCAATGACCCGACAAGTTGCGCCTACATCGGCCGAAACAATCAACGGCCACACCAGAGCAGTCAACATCACCTCAACAACTTGCCCCAGATCAGAACGCCACCTCGACAATCAAAAGCCCCAGGGCATGCCCTCATCGGCCGCACATATCACCAACAACATAGCCTCTTCGACGGGCACACAAGTCAGGTAGGGTAGAACCTAACAACCATCGGCCCTCGTATAAAACCTACTGGTGATAACCTCTTGAAAGCGACCTGCATCCAAGGGTTCTCCCATAGGGTTACCTTGGTCAGGAATCGCCAAGGGATTGGATTCAGGGGAAATGCGAGGATACCGCTTCGGCCTGGGGTTTTACTTCACTCTTTCACCCCTCACTCATCCTTTGGCCTGAATCAGTGGGGGATTACACCGGCCTTCAACGCAAAGATGAAAAAATTGAAAACCCAAAAAACCAAGCATACAGCGATGACATCACAACGTCTGCAAACCACAACGCCCAAAACGTGACACTCATCGGCTACTCAAGCCAGGACACTCATCGTCCTCAAGCATGAAAGCGCGCACCACCCTCAGAACAAGGACCTCCTTCGTCCACGGCGGAGGCCGCACAACGGCCAAACACAGAAAATCTCCACAACGGTACCACGTCGGCCAAAAAATCAAAGCCACATGAATCTACTCTCTTTCATTTCGTCTGCACCTCAGCTCAGAGAGTGGGGGACTCCGGATGGAGTATATGAGTCCAGATCTCATAACCCACATACTCAGAAGAATAAGAAGCACAACTATCACCCAGTAGGCCCTCCGTTGGCCAGATGTCCCACCATCGACCGGAAAGACATCAACTCAGAATATGATCCAGAAGCCAGGAGAACCGGGGTGTCCCCGTCGGCCGGGTCTCCGTCGGCCATGTCTCCGTCGGCTAGACCTCCGTCGGCCACAAAGAGCTCACAGAGCCGGATTTCATACTTAGTCAATTTACATACTTTGTATTCAATCCAATAGAGGCCCATTGTAAACGGACCTCCCAAGCCTAAGACTTGGGAGCCCACATTTTCTATATAAATACTCCGCTGGGAGATAGTGGTAGAGAGTTCACAAATCATTTATTACAACATTCATTGCACTTCTCTCTCTAGCTCTCACTTCTCTCTACAGAGTTAATACTCTATCAATGATATTGTGTAAAAATATAAAATTTATATTAAGAAATATTGGAGAAAATATATTACGAAATATAAATTACCTTATTTTTGTGATTAATTATATCTATAAACTAGAGAATTGTAAAAGCTGACCGACCTTCCACATTATTATTATAAAACTATTAACAAGTGTGGAAATTCAAAAAAACTGCGGAAACTTTAAAAAATGTGGAAAATATTTCACACCATGCACTGCAAGATTAATATACCACTATTCCTAAACTCATTATTTATCTTTATTAAATTAAAATGTTCATTCCTATTACTATTTATCTTTTATGCCACCTCACTACAATTCACCCCCAATTGAAGATGCATTAAGAACAATTATGATGATTGATATTCTAAAGGGTGAGTGTTATGGTACCATCTAAAAAAAAGAATACCTTACCTAGCATGCATTTAATTGTTCTAATTCAAATATTTCATCATTATTGTATATTTGAATATTTCAACTTTAATATTCTAATTGTCCACTTGAAAAAGGTAAGAGTAGACCTTGAGGGTGTTATAGAATTTCACCATTGAAAAGTTAGGATACTTTTAAACTTGTTGAAACTTTTTGGTATAATCTGGTATGTTTAAATCTTATATGTACCGGTTTGTTCTGATATGAGACTGAATTATGTCTAAGTAAAACCATCTCGTTTAAACAAATGATAAATTCATTTTGAAAAACTCGGATATAGAAAGTGATAACATTGTTAATTTAATTGTCCGTTCAAAATATAAAATGTTATCAACTAACTTTCTCGGAGAGAGTATGATAACATTATTGTTACACTAGGGAATCCACTTAATTATTTGCGGATAATAATACTCTCCATATGGAAATAATGGATGACCCTCACACACAATAATTATTCTTGAAATGATGAAAATGAATATTGTAAAATTAAATTTATTGCTCATTTACAGGGCCCTCGTGTTCTTTTAATATTTCCGCAACTTGGAATATTATATCAGCAACTATTATCGGTCGTGCTACACGAGTACCTGATTAGAATCACTTTGCTATTAATTGGCTAGTCGTAGTAAATAATGGAGTCCTATAATTGCTTTACTATAACAACTTACTTTGATAGTGGATGTGTTTGACATTAACTGGATAGCGCATTATGTTAATGAGTTAATTATCTATAACAGATACAATCAGGAAGTTTGACTAGCGGAATAAATTGACGGGTTATCAGAAGTTCTTTGGTAATTTAACTTTTTGACCATAAAAAATAGTACAAAACGCTATATTTGAAATACTAATCCAAAACTCTCTTATTGCCGCAGCATTTTCATTTCAACGTTTTCGTCCAAAAATATTAGTGGCGAACAACTATTTACCAAACAACTTTTTCACTTATTAAAATCGCAAAGAGTGATCAAACCGCCATTTTTCGACTAAAATGTCATTTACCAAGCACCCCCAATAATAAGGGGTTTCTTTAATTGAACTTGTCAAATTCAAATTAGATAAACTTAGATTTTAGGAAAATTCTTCTTGTACATGTCTTATGCATGCCGTCATTGAGAGTCTTTTTTTGTCTTTGAATACATTGATCGTTTAGGATAACATGCGTTTTGTCTATCAACCATGTATTCGTAGACAAAAAACCACTCACCCAAACTGCATGTATGAAGCGTCTATTATTTAAGCTGTACAAGTTGTATTTTTATACTACCTCTGTCCCAATTTGATAGTACCAATTCTGCTGCTCACAATTTATTCTCGACAGAATCACAACTTTCACTTGTTCAAGTTTTCACTTTTAACCTTCTTTAATTTTTTCACTTTTGTAATTTTGTTGTTGTTAATTGTTAATTTGTTATTTCACCTATTGATTAATTTCAGAAATTTAAATTTCAGCTTTATTGAAGGGATAACATAATATTTATATGTAGAAAAAATACATGATTTATTGATGAATTCTTTCCGCTCAAAATCCAAAAGCTGCGTTAACAGTGGTTTGAAATCCAGGAAAAAACTTGCATTAATGACGGATCTTAATAAAAAAATCAATACAATACCCAAAATTATCATGCTCATATAAATAGTGTTTGTAAAACCTTAATTGGAAAGAAAATGAAATTTAGTTCGGCCGAAATTCAACAATTATTTCTTTTGACAGCTTTAAACCCAACCATAGCTAGAGGAGTCCGTAGTAGAGGACCATATTGAACTCGATATGGCCACTTCTACTACAGAAATTAATACTCTTATCCTTTGGTTACCAACCACATTGGGTCATGGGTCCTATATAAAGAGCTTCACTAGCTATTGCTTTTCCATATATGAGTAATTCTGTAGAAATTAAGCTTCTTGAGTGGTTCCAAAAGTCAAGTAATCAAGTCCAATCATAATGAAGATTGAGAATGGTCAAGTCGCATGGAGCGGTCAACGGGCAGATGGCCCTGCAAAAATATTGGCGATTGGAACGGCCACTCCCTCTCATTGGGTTGATCAGAGCGACTACCCGGATTTCTATTTTCGTGTCACAAATAGTGAACATTTGCAAGATCTCAAGGACAAATTTAGGCGCATTTGTGAGTCCACTTCTCCTTATCTTTGTACGTTTTTCAATATGAGAGATTTTAGTGTCACAAATACGAGTAAATGAGGTTGGAAATCCAGAATAACTCCTATGTTTTTCTTCTTGAAAATAGGATTAACATAACACTGTTTATTATCATCTTGTAGGTATGACTGTCAAATAGTTCACAGTTGCAGTACTATTTATTCAACATGACATAATTTATTATAGTTAGTGACAATATTGTTCAATCATGACAGTAACGAATCCTATTTCGGGATGAAAAACATAATACTTCTATTTTGGTCAATTTCCTGTCATTTATATTTGTCTAATTATCTTGCATGCTACTTATAAAAGAAAATGTGCTTTTGTGTTTGTGGGGTTGCAACTCACAACTTTTAACATAAAACATTGTTAGTTTGAACATTCCGACTATTAGGTTATTAGCATAACCTTTTGATTCGAGAGAACATAACTAGGTAAGGATCAATCGCAGATCTGCTAATACACCATATCATGCGCCCTTCATATATACCCATTCACCGCTTAATAGTCGGGTTATGTACTATACTAGTGAACTATTTGGGTTGTCCCATAGAAATCTATTTTGACTTGGGACTATCGAGTAATGTATTAAATGAAGAATAACAAATTTTAAATGTGATGTTAAACATGATCGTGATATTATTGAGTGAATTCCTCAAAATAGGAACACATCATGGGCTAAACAACGCAAAACTGTGAGTTATTGTTTTAAATTCTCTAAATATGAGCAATTATATATATTTGGATAAAAATACCTTTGCAAGTGCTTGAAGTGCACTAGCCTGCCGCCGCCACCTTACACCGCCACCTGCCACATGCCATTGGATCTCCATCACCCGCCACCGGTCACCGGAGCTCCACCACATGACATGAACGATAAGAGTTTACGATTATGATTTCAAATTTCCAGACACATGGAACTCCTGCTCGGGTCGAGATTGTCAGGTTCAGATCGAAGATCACCGCGAGAATAAAATAAGAATAAACAAATTAAATGAATAGGGAACCTCCTAAACGCTCGCCCATCTTCGATCTGCCCATTGCACATGCGATAGATAATAAGATGGATGTTTCAAAAGTATATTTTATGGCTTCAAATATTATATAGAAATTAGTTCAAAAAGGACTAAAACTATGACAAAAATCTAAAATAGGACTTGCTATGTTTTTATTCCAAAATAGGACCATATGAGTCCTATTGGAAACATACCTATTTTTGCATTCCATTCTTACCCTTCCATTAAATATGAATTAAAAATAGTCAAAAGCCATAATCAAATGTTTAATTTATAATAAATTCGAAAAAAAATAAAAAATTCGTAGAAATATAATTAAAAAATTTATAAAATTTTTATAAAATAAAAAATTCAAAAACTTTTTTTTAAATAATTTTATTTTTAAAAAAATTAATAAAAAATAGTAAAACTCCGTAAAAAAATTTAAAAAAATATGGATGCCTTTCCCACCGCCTGTACTACCTCCCAGCACCACCACCTCCGGCCGATGAAAAAAATGCCATTTTCCCAGAAAAATGCCATTTTTTTTTCTGAAAATGCCAAAAAAGTGGCATATTTCTCTTTTCGAATGCCAACATTTTCATTTTTTTCTGCCATAAATATGGCATTCGTAATGAACTTGGCATTTTTTTCCCCTGGTGACTGGAGGTGGTGGTGCTGAGGCGGCAGAGGCGGCGGTGATTTTTTTTTTTGAGTTTTTAATTTTTTTTTTTTTTTTATGTTTTTTAATTTTTTGAAAAAAAATAATTAAATTTTTAATATCGAAATGTTTTTCATAATTTTTTAGTATTTTTTACGAATTTTATTATTTTTTTATTGTTTTATTAGGAATTAAAACATTTTAATAGATATAAGGGTATAATTGTCCAAGGTACACATAATTAGTCCTATGCAAACATAGTTCATTTTTTGGTCCTATTTGTGAAAAGTGAATGACTTTTAGTCCTATTTTGATAATTAACTCAATATTATACTCCAATTTAACTCCACGTGTTAAATTGGACTTCACATAGAATTTGACAATGAGAAGTCGTAGATGAAAATGGCTTAAAAGTAAATCTAATAACATAAAATTATATTATATTGGGAAACATAATCAAGAAATATAACACCGAAGTTACGTTGGATCAGATGCTCTATATATCAAAATATAAGGAATGGAATAAGAAAATGTATTAAATTAGTTAAACTCGACTATAAATAGGTGAGGTGTCACCTATACCGGGTCCCAAAAAAAAAAAAATAGTTAAACTCATTAGTTTATAAAACGAGAAAAACCCGGCCTCTTCTCTAATCCCGTAATCCGATCCTGATAATTGCCATTTTTAAAGGCCGATCAATTTGATCTGAATCAGGGACGGATCCAGGATTTCTAGTCAATGAGGGCGAAATTTTTTCACGAATGTAGGGGATGAAAATTTCTCGCTAGTGTAGCGCGGAGAATTTTTTCCGCTAGTGTAGTGAGACAATTTTTTTTTTGCTAGTATAGGGCTCTGCGGCAATTTTTTATTCAATTTTTTTATTAATACATACACGACGACATTTAAAACTATTACATTCTAAGTTTAGACAATGGAAAAATAACTTTGATTGTATAATTGAAATGCTCTAAAAAAGTATTGATACACTAAATCATAAGAAATAGCAACCCAAAGGAAATTTATTTGAATATTAAGAGTTTAAAAGGTATACATCCATCAATACTTTTTAAATAACTTTTGCCTTGTTTAACCCCATGAATCTTTATCAAAATAAAGAATTGGTTTTTGAATTACAATTTTTGTCTAACAAAGAAGGTGTTTGTGAGTCATGAAGAGTTTTATTATTATTACAATAGTATGTATGACATTATTATTATTTTTAGAATAATATTATATTGTTGATTCATATATATGGTGCATATTATATTGACATTAATACTAAAATAAGTTAAAGTTTATTATATATGCAATGATTAGTTTGTAGAACCTAACAAGTAAATGAATTATGTAATTTAATGTCAACAAAAATTTATATTTTGGATTCACCTCACATCATCTAAAAATTATTTAACTAGTGTGTCTGGTAGTTAATTTCATTTGATATTTTACAAAATCGAGTACTAATTATCTAATAAAGATAACTAAACATTACAAAACTAGGAATTTTTATATAATAAATATCCCAAGTCTTAAACAATGATCAGAGTTGTTCTATTATATTGTTTATTTTCTTAAGTATGTAAATTATTTTAGATGTTTCTTCTTTTAAATCTCCAATTAAGTTTTACATTATGTAAGGCTATATATTAATTTTTAAAACTAAAAGTTAAGGGGGCGAACACATATATATCTAGTTAATTAAAGTAAGAAAAATTTTATGAAAATGTTACATATATAATGGAAAATTTTAAAAGTGCAAGGGGGTGATCCCTCCTCCCCGAATCCTTCCCCTGATATGAACTGATCTAGTCAATATTTGTAATAATTTCACTAGTATCGAAATCTGATCGATCTAGTATGATTTGATCTTACTTGATTTGACACTCAAAAATCAATTCAACTAAAAACATCTTAATTATGGGTATAGACGTATAGTTACTTGTATCTAAAGTGCTCAGCAAAAAGCAGAAGAATACGAGTATATGACCAAACAATTTTTACTTAATTAGGATTAGTCAGGATTAGGATATGTTAGGCTCCCAAATATTTTTCCTATCATAAAAGTGTAAAACGGGCGGGGATTCAATCTTTTTAGTCACATGATTATCGTAAACATGTCTTAAGTATGGAGTCTTTGTTTTGCCATAAAAAGTACCGAGTCTTTCTGAGCAGCGGCGGAATCGGTCAATAATTTGAGGGGGTGCTCTTATATTTTTTTTTTGAAAAACAATATTTTATTAGGATAAAATAAAAACGAGTGAAAAATAATTATTAATACATATAGAAAGAGTTATTTCCTTGAAAAATGAAAACGGGCACATTTTTTACATTTTTTCACAATAAGAGAAAATTTTGATTTATTTATCAAATTGTCACCGAGTTTTTGATAAAATATAGTGCATTGTTGACTGATTTTGACTCATCGGATCTCAAGTTAAATGCACAAGATTTATTCTCGATCAAATTTCATGATAAGAACTCTTTTTATTTGATCCGAAACTTATATATATGTATATGTAGTGTGTTTCAAATAAAAATGCTATTATACTAAACAAAAGGTAAATACTTATATTAACTTAAAGTAGTTTTAGAATTATTCTTGACATTAAATGACAACGTCCGTATATGTCATTATTAGAAGAAGAAATGATTAAAATTAATTTGAATTGAAGAAATGATAATTTAAAATAAAAGATATAGAAATTCAAAAGTGTGATTTAAACAACATTACATCCTAGAGTGATTTAATTGAACATAAATAATTACCAAATGGGCTAAAGTCTAAAGAAGCAATAATGGAGAAAGAAAAAAAAATTTGTGGCTCCTGAAAATTGAACCCAGGTCATTTAGGTAGACAAAGCTCTCCCAACCTCCACCCTACCATTTGAACTATCACAACTCATACATTCAAATAGCGACTCCACTTTAATATATGAATACTTTCTGAACCGGGGCTGAGATATACACACACACACACACACACACACACACACACATATATATATATATATATATATACACACACAGAATCACCGTCGGAGAAGGGGGAGCGCCGGCACCGACTCGCCCCTCCTAGTTCCGCCACTGTTTCTGAGATAGCTTAATATTATGAATAAAATCTGCGCACCAGAATTAAGATTTATGTGAAGGAGAATCTATATAGTATATACATACTAGTATGAGGGAGATTTTCCTAATTAATTAAGATTAAATAAAAGTAAATAGTAGCAATAGAGTTTAAAATTTAAATTGCCAAAACAGAACTAACCCTTCATATTCTACTCGATCTTTCCCTTATCATTCTTAGCAGGATTTTTTAAATCATAAAATTAAACCATAAAAAAATCAAAATACACATGCCACAACCACCACCTCGACCACCTTCCAGCACCGCCACCTCCGATCTCTGGAAAAGAATGGCAAGATGAAAAAATGTCACCGTGATAACAATTTTGAAAAGAATGATGAATATTTTCAGAGTAAAAGTGTCATTTTCATGATATTTTCAGATGAATGTGACATTTTATTCTAAACAAGATAACATTTTCTTTTGACGTTCGAAGCTGGTGGTGCTCGGAGGTGGGCTTCTTCGTGAACGCATAATATAATGGAAAAGGAAATAATGTTTTCATTATTTCCTAAGTAATTCAAGATATATGCTTTTGCTAGTATTATGAAAAACCTAGCATAAAACTCAAAACAAAAGTCTAAAACTTCACCAACAAGTCAATGTTGATGATGGTGGGTGTTGACTTTCTCATGACCTGGGTTGTTTTTAATATGTAATCAGGTGGTAGAACTATGATCAGGAAAAGGCATATGATATTAACTGAGGAAACCTTGAAGGAAAATCCAAATTTATGTACATTTAGTGAACCTTCTTTAAATATTAGACAAGATATCTTGATATCTGAAATACCAAAATTGGGGAAAGAAGCTGCCCTCAAAGCAGTAGAGGAGTGGGGTCAGCCCATATCCAACATCACCCATCTAATCTTTTGTACAAGGAGTGGGCTGGACATGCCCGGCGCAGACTACCAGCTAATCAAGCTTTTGGGCCTTAGCCCATCAACACAACGGTTCATGTTATACCAACAAGGTTGTTTCGCCGGGGGTACGGTTCTCCGACTTGCCAAGGATATATCTGAGAACAACAAAGCCTCACGCATCCTTGTAGTGTGCGCTGAAAGCTCGGCTATTGGGTTCCGTGGTCCAAGCCCGGATCACGTAGATAATCTTGTGGCCCAAGCATTATTTGGTGATGGGGCTGCTGCATTGATAGTAGGCTCGGACCCCATGCCCAATATTGAAAAGCCCATATTTGAAATTTTATCAGCGGCCCAAACCTTTGTGCCTAATGGTGACTACCATCTTGCATTGCATCTTCGTGAGTCGGGCCTCTCTTTCCACGGAACAAAGTCGGTGCCATCGACCATAGCTAAAAACGCCGAGAGTTGTTTAATTAGGGCCTTCGAAGATTCGGGAATCTCGGATTGGAACTCACTTTTTTGGATCCTTCATCCAGGCGGGAATGCAATTGTGGACCAAGTGGAGAGCACATTGGGCCTCGAGCCCAATAAGTTGCAGGCCACACGAAAAATATTACGCGAGTACGGAAATTTATCTAGCGCTTGTGTGATATTCATTATGGACGAGGTCAGGAAGAAGTCCATTAGAGATGGGCTCAGGACTACTGGAGGTGGGCTTGAATTCGGAGTGGTTTTATCATTTGGGCCTGGTCTTACTATTGAGACAATAGTTCTCCGCAGTTTACCCATTTGAGATTTATATTTTTATAGGTCTATATGTTTCTGTATGTTTCCTTGTATTATATGCATACTGTATGAATTGAATAAAGAGATACAAAATCAATTGATGGAAATGGAGATATTATTAATCTTCATTGCCTTGTCGAGTTGTCGCAAAATAACAACAAAATAGTGTATGTTGGTGTATGAGATGTGATGACTTTCTAATAACTTTTTGGATATCATTAAGTATATATTTATGATATTTGAACGTAATAATGTATGGACTCATTGAAAGTGTATGAGAAATAAAATGTTTTTAACCTCACTAAAATTGATAGTACTACTACGTAAATTGATATTTCAGTTTGAGATGCACCAAAAACAATTTAGATCGTGTTAATATTGACGTACACATAAGTATAGAAATCTGATGGATATTATTGATCAATTGAAAAGTACAAGACAAGTTAAAACAATGAGGGTTTAGTTTAATTAATACAGATTATCAGGAAAACAACAAATGCAGGACACCTTAGTGATCATGAATGAGTAACGGTTATGGTTAGTTCGAAATTTCGAATCAAGCACTTTCCGAAAAATCGGATGGAATGATTTATGGTGCAAAGTTTTTCGGACCATCCAAAAAAGATCACAAAGTTGTAAGGGACAGGGGTATAATCATAAAAAATAGAGGAAATTCCGCAAATGCGACCAAATAAGCCTGAAATTGCAAAAACAGGAGTCCAAAATAACTAAAGATTTCGTGGGACTAAAAATCATGCGAATTTCCAAATTTGACCTCCATGTCCACGCGTGTAATGAAACCTCTTTAATGACGTTTGTTGTTTGCGTTTCCTAAATATTCCATACTCAAACCTCACGTCGGAAGTTAAGTTTCCAAAGATGGGAAGCATTCAAAAAAATTAAAAACTGCTACACATGCGTGAGAGAAATTTGGCAAACGGCAACTTCTACTGCGAATCGAAAGTTGGAGGCGATTATCTGTTAAGCTTCGATGGAGATTGATGATTCCGATTTCCAGAGTCGGAATGACGATTCTGACTTTGTACCAGAAATGCCAAGTTCGCATGACATTAGAATCAACTCCAAAATGGTATGTATTGCTTCTGTTATGTTATTTTCGTATATTATGTTGATACTGAATGACAACATGTTGAATGAAATTGAATTAGTTGGATAAATTTGAAAGATATATGTATGGTGTTTATGTAAGTACTCTGTAATGGCATTAACATGATTAATGACGTAATATAATTACAAATATATTTAGAACAAAACAAAGGCTTAATGGCACTTATACTTTGCTTAGTACTATGTCTGCTTTAGTTTGTAATGGCATTGTAGGTTTTGTATAAGCAAATATGTTAAATTGAATTGTCAATCGGAGAATAAGAAATCCATGTGATGTTGTTTTGAAATGCTATTTTGTTGGTTTGTTTGTGGTTCATGAAGAATGCGAATGCCATATATTTGTTATTGTGTTGCCTCTAAATGAGAATATGTTGACTGAAATGGAATTTGTTGCATAAATTTGAAAGATATATGTATTCTATTAATGTAAGTAAACTGTAATGGCAGTAAGATGATTAATGACGTAATTAGAAACTAATTTACAACAAAGAAAAGGATTAAAGGCATTTATTCTTTGCTTAGTCTCATGTGTACTTTAATTTGTAATGGCATTATAGTTTTTCTATAAGCAAAATATGTAATAGTGAATTGTCAATGGGAGAATAAGAAATTCATGTGATGTTGTTATAAAATGCTAATTTGTTTGTTTGTTTGTGGTTAATGAAAAACGCGAATGCCATATATATGTTATTGTGTTGGCTCTAAATGACAATATGTTGACTGAAATGGAATTTGTTGCATAAATTTGAAAGATATATGTATTCTATTAATGTAAGTAATCTGTAATGGAAGTACGATGATTAATGAAGTAATTACAAACTTATTTAGAACAAAGCAAAGGATTAAAGGCATTTATATATTTTTCTCAGTCTTATTTCTACTTTAGTTGAAAATGGCATTATAGTTTTTCTATAACCAATATGTATTAGTGAATTGTCAGTGGGAGAGATAAGCATTTGTATTGGATATTTCTGATATCATATGATACAATTCTGTGTTTTGATATTTTTTGGAAATGTTTATTTTTAGTTTTGATGTAATTCTATTTCAGTGGAAGTTATGAGAATTAAATGCCATTGTTTTATTTTTCATCACAAGACTGACATGATGGTGAATGATATACACATACACATATCAACAAAAAATGAATATCGAAGGCATTCTTTATAGAATTGTGAAGATATTCTTCTTTGTTTTTTGTATCCTTTTACCAAATTACAAAAAGAATAAAAACTGACATATTCATGGCATTCTGTAGTGCATTTTTAACAAGTGAATTTAATTGATTTCTTTTTTAATAGACAATAACAAGGTACTTCAAGAGGACAATTTTGGCATAATTAGATGACATGCGTGTCAATTGCTACTGCAATATGCTCAAAGTAATGGAAAGGGTAAAGAATATTCTGAGTAAAGAGGAGTTGGAGGATTGAAAAGCAAGTGTTTTTGGTTGGCTTGTAGATTTTGATAGCATGGATTGGGTTAGTGGACAGCCACAGCTTGGGTTTGTAGGAAACTATGTGCAGTGTGTTAATGGGTTGATCGACAAGAATGTGATGTGATTCCATATCCGAAATAGTGTAATAAACTTCATTAAGCAGGATTTGGCAGTAATCACTGGTTTAAAACTGAGTGGGGAGAAACTTGTGGTCTCAGAAGAGCATATGGGAGGTATCTAAAATCGGTATTTGGGAGGCAAGACCACAGTTACAAGAAGTGACATTTTAAAGGCAATTAATAGTTACAAGAGTACTGATCTGGCAAGAATGAGGTATGATGGGGTCAAGCTGGCACTTCTCTATATTCTTTCACATGGGGTTTTAGGAAATCAAACAGCAAAACAAATGGAGTCACACTATTTGAATCTGGTTGATGATTTAGAAGCTTTTAAAATCTACCCATGGGGTGATGTTACGTGGAATGAGTTGATCACTGATATGAAACAAAGTTGTGAAGCACTAGAAAACTACAAAGGTGAAAGAGTGACATTCCCAGGTTGCATGATTGCACTACAAGTATGGGCATTTGAAATATTCCCAAACCTGTTAAAGGGAGGTTTGTGTAAAGTGATAGAAGGGAGAGAAAATATCATCCCAAGGACACTGAAGTAGGAATTTCATAAGAAGCCTCGACTTGAAGTTTTGTGTGACCTAATCTTCTATAATTACAAGGTATATGAAATACTAATAATATATTATATTATATATTTTGTGATTAAATATGACAAATAATATTATACTAATATGGTGTGTTGTGTCAGTTTGAATGGACATGTATTGTTACAGTTGACCAGGAGCTTTATTTGATTGAAGGATTCAATATTCATGGTGCTAGAGTGAAAGTTGAAGAAAATGAGAAAAGAAAAGAAGGAAATGGAGCTTCAGATGTAGAAAAAAGAACAAAAAATACCAAGGGTGCGAAGGGAAAACAAATAGCAGTGAAGAAGGGAAGGACATTTAAGGAAAATGCTGGCGAAGGCAGTTCAAAAACAAAAAATAAGGCTATAAAGCAAAAACAAAGTGACAATGATAGTGATTTTGAAGCAAATGACAGGGAGAATGAAAGTGAACAAAACACAAGTATTGCTTCCCGTACAAGGCAAAGAGGCCAAAAGATGAAAGCAAAGGGCAAACAAGCACAACAGATTGCCAAAAAGAAGGCAGTTATGAAACAAGCCAAGAGAAGGCCTGTAAATGTCGGAGAAGGAACTTCAAAATGCAAGAGGAAGGGTAGAAAAGCAAGAGAGAGCAATGATGACATGGATTATGAAGCAGATGAAAGAAAGGATGAAAGTGGAGGGTTGATAAATGCTGCTTTATGTACCAAAGAAGTAAAAATTATAATGAAGAAAATCAGCAAGCAAACAACAAGAACTGCCAAAATAATGGCAGATGTTAAAGAAATGAAGCAAAGACAAGTTAAGCAAGAGCTGGTACTAAACAAAATTATTCACTTTGTGAGAGATTTGACAAGGCATCAAATGAATAGGAATGAAGGAGGAATGCCAGGACAAGAAGAAACTGTAGAAGATGACAATGAGGAGAAGAAGGAAAATATAATGCTGATGAGGATAATGAAATGAAGAAAGGATATGAGGATAAGGAAGATGACTTAAGTGGAGCAGGAATGGAAGAGAAAAACCAGAAAGAAAAGAATACAAATGGAGCAGCAAATGATGTTGAGCAGCCAGAAGGGGTTGTGGAGGAAGAAGAGAATAGGGAGGGAGATAAGATCATTACTGAAGAAGTAAATGCATCAGTGGACAGAAATGGAAGACATCATGTTGAGAAGGAGAAGGTTATTGGGCAAGAAGATGATATGCCTAACTTTGATATATTTTCATTTCAAACTCAGCCAGAAGTTGAAGGAACAACAAAAGAGAATGAATGAAGTACTGAGGAAAGAGAAAAAATGAAATGAACACAGAGAAGGAAAAAGCTGCAGATATGTGGGGAATGGGTTCTCAAGAAATAGTCAATTTGTGAAGGAAGTGTGTAAACATGTTGAAGAGGTTGAGAAAGTGGCATTACAAAGTACATATTCAGAAAAAATAATGCCAGAAGACACACAGTTTGAAAACGAGCTCTGCAAACATTTGGATGAAGTTAAAAAAGTGGCATTACAGAGAAAGGCTTCAGAAAAAAGCAACCAAAGCATTCCAGTAGCTAATAAGGTAAGAAATAAATAAATATAATGCATTAAAATCAGGTTGGTTTAATATTATAGAATTCAAATATGTTCAATATAAACATGTGAGAGAGAAGAGAAGCCCAAGATCACCAGCGAGGTACACCCCATTAGAAAATACTGTTGAAGTGAAGAGGAGAAAGAAAGAAAGAACAATGAAAAGGAATCATGACATATTTTTACCACCACCAACAACAGTATATGGGCCATTTTCTGAAGACCCAACTGAAGCGCCACCTGAGAAGCAAATAAATAGAATTGGTGACTTTCTAAGTATTGGTCTGCTAAAGGAGGATGATAACAGAAAGTACAAGATGGATGAGGAAAGGATGCATGGAATTCCAATGTTGCTGGACACGATAAAAATTGAGTCCAAGACATGGCTATACAATCTTTACTTCAAAGATCAGTGGATGCAAGACACAGTATGTGACATGAAATCTACATTACAAAATTAATACAATCTCAATTATTATTGCCATTAATGTGTGTATACAAGGATATAATTATCGAAAAACTAAATTGCTTATACAATTTTTTATATATAAAATACAGCATATGGTGTGGGAATGCACTATTTGGCAATCAAAAGAGTTCATTACAAACTCAAACAAAAATATAGCACAAATGGGCCGTTTTTTATTACAATGCTGAGGACGCTACATGAGGACATAGGAAAGAACAAAGCAATTGTTCAGAGTGCAGCAGAGAATGATCTTATTATGCATGATGTCTTGGGAACTACATCAAAATTTTCACTGCAATGGACAGATGCTGAATTTTTGTACATCCCATTAAATGTTAGTAAACATTGGGTGTTGCTAGTTTTGGACATCAAGAAGAGAAAGGTGAAAGTCTACAACTCCAGTTCCAGAAGGGGGATTCATTGAAAGAGATCAGACCGTTCATACCTTGCAATAAGTTTTTGCTTCCCAAAATCATGGACTGCCTCAAAGTGTATGAAATTAAAGGGGAGGAGCCAATGGGAGAGAGGCCACTAGAAATTGAAGTTGAAGAGAACTGCCCACAACAACATAATGTGTAATTAAATAACAAGTTGTCAACAAAGCTAATGGTGAATTTTAAATGAAAAGGTATATCTACGTTATTAAAGGTCTAATTAAAGCTAATGTAATGAATGTTTTCATTTGATTACAGGTTCGATTGTGGAATGTTTGTCCGAAAGATTGCTGAATTTCTGATAATGGAAGTGACTTTTGAGTGCATCGATCCAGAACTAATGCCTATTTATAGGGGAAAAATGGCAACAGAGTTGGTTTTATACAGAGAAAGGAGATTGGAAGAAGCAAAAGGAATGCACCTGCCTAAATGTATCAAGGATTGGAGTGAAGTGTTGATGATAAATGAAGTTTTAATGCCAATCATGTCTTGAACAAATGGTTTTAATATGTAATAAGTTTGTTTTGATTTAAGATAAGTTCCAAAAACATCTGAATTTGTGTGAACTTGGATTGTGTGCTTTTGTTTTGCCATGGATACTGCTTGTATGATATGACCGTGGTTTGTGGTTTTAAGTTTGTTTGGTAATTTTTGTTCTGCATTATGAAATATTGCCATACCAGTGGATGTTATGAAAATGAAATGCCATTATTCTTGGGTTATTCTTAACTGACAAAGATGATGGTGAATGATATAAATATACAAACTGGTACACATAAACATACATATTAACAAAAAACAGTGTTTTAAAAGATAATTTTGTTTAATTGGGATATATTAAAAGTAAGGAGTTAGTGTAAAATAATGTAAATCAGAAAAACCAAAATAAAAAAGAAGATAAAAGAAAAGTTACAAAGGAAATAACATATTGAAATGACACAATCGAAAGGTTGTAGTCTATTTAAAAAAAGGTTGTAGTATTTACTCATAATACGAAGTACATAAACAATAACAAAAAAGTGGCACTACAGACTAAAAATTGTCATGATTTATATTCAACTAAAATCACACCATTACAGATGTTATGATAAAAACCAACATTTATTAGGAATATAGTCATTGTACAAAGTCAACAAATAATGCATTATATGATTCATCCACTTATAAAATGCAATCTTATCAAGTATAAATGCATTTAAAGGAACTAATTATGCCAACAATATAACTGCACAAACACAATATAATGAAAAGTAAAAGTGAGTTTGTAAACTATAAAATAAGGTCATCAAGTCTTATTATTATAGAAACTAACATTCCAATAACATCTCTTCTTATTCTGGCGATAAATAAAAACTAGAGGACTCTAAAAACTATGTAAAGGAAATCAATTTGTATCAACTGGAAGAGCATTACGGCAAGTCTTCTTATTGTGGCCAAAAATTTTGCAGCGAGAACACTTCCGACGTTTGGAACGGACATGTTCTCCAATTGATGGGATTCTGGACTTTTTTGGACGCCCCGGTGGTCGCTTCAAATAGGTAGGAGGCTTGCAAATAGTACTTGAAACATCAGAAGGAATGACCCAATCTTCAGGATCTCCAATTGGGTGCATTATACCACTCCAAGTTGCCAACAATTGTTCTCTTGTGTAATAAGAGGATATGTAATTGTAACAGGATAAACGAGGGCGTGAACCAATTGCAGCCACATCATGAAGACACACAAACTGATCTAATTGAAACTGCCCACAAATGCATATTCTTGAATTGAGGTTGACCACAAAGCGTCTACATTTCCTATCAATAACCTCAAACTCATATTCACAAAATGCATTCACGTAAAAACAAATGTAAGAGCACAATTAAGAAAAACTAGGATCATAAAAGCTGAAAATAAGAAGATATATAAAAAGAGAAGAGTAATTGTAGTTAGTATAAAACTTTGGCAATCAGATATTTTAAATGCCAAAAACTAATAAAGCACAAAATGCATTAACAAGTACTTTTCATACAACTAAAACATACATTCATACGACTTGATTCAAATTGTAAGGAAACCAGAAGTTTTTCATATTTTTCAGAGAGCTTTGTACATGTAGATTGAGCTACTTCCTTCCTTACTTTAAATCATTCTTGCATTCTTTCACGCAAAAAATTGATGACTTTGGAAACACAGTACTGTCTTGCACAAGCATTCATACTATTTAAAGATTCAGCATAGTTCGAGGTCATCACATTAAATCTATTGAAATCATACATTTAGCCCATTTTTGAATACCAACTTTTTCTAACCATGGGCGTATTCTGGCATCTTGAATATCTAACAATGACATGTAATACTCATACCGTTTCACAGTTGAAGCCGAATATGCAGCTTTAAATTTCCAACCCAAATCTTTTGCAGAGCCTCTGAATTTCGATGTCATATTGTGGCGTAAGTGTTCAACACAGAAGCCATGACCAGCATGTGGAAATATTTTACGAACAACAATAAGAATCCCTTTATGCCTATCAGATAAGATATACATGTCAGAACGATATTGAATACATGAACCAACCTTCGATACGAACCACCGCCACGTTGCTTTACTTTCAGACTCACATATACAAAAAGCTATAGGAACAATTTGATTATTTGCATCCTGAGCACAAGGTGTCAACAAGGTGCCTTTATAATATGATTTCATGAATGACCAATCCAAATGAGCACGTGCCTACAATAATGCCACGCATCTCTCCAAGGACCAAGTGACATGAAAAAATATTGAAAAGCGTCATCAGCACTTGTAATAAGGGTAACAACAGATCTTGGATTTGTCTTATTTAGAATGTAAGCAATTGAAGGCCGCATCTGGTAAGACTCAGAATCAGAATCAAATTGCATTTCCATTGCTTTCTTCCGAGTTTTCTATGGCTTCTTATATGACATTGAAATACCATAATCCATACTCATCTCACCCATGAGTTGTTTAGGTTTGTACGGGTTTATAGAAGCATCCAAAAATTTGTGTGTAACCATATTTGCAATGACATCATATGTTGCTTGCCTATGTTTGCCCTGTCTATAATCAAGAGAGCAAACATGTTCTGGATCATACCTGGAGAGTAAAAAATATAGAGTTCATAAAAGCTAAGAGGTAGATATGGCATTCAAAAACAAGAACGTAAACACAAAATGCCATGATAATGGCATCTCAAAGAACAAGAAAACTGAATACATATCTGAAAAGATTTAAAAGACTAATTTGTATACTATACATTCTGAATTATTGAATATTAATGCAAAGCAAAGAAAACTATAATAATAGAAAAAGTGTAAGCACAAAACCTAATACCGCAGATGCAAAATTAAAAAGAAAAAGAACAAGCAAAAATATAAAAGAAAAGAAGATATGTGAAGTCACCTGCTGATCTGAAACATCTGAACACCATTCAATTTGACAGCACGAAAAGCCCAATCACAATCCGGATCTAAACAAATAACATGCAAAATATGTTTTTTTGAAGTCTTGGTTCTGTATTGAAAGCTTTTACTGATGGCAAACATCTTCAAATGATATATCAGCTCACGCTTCTTCTTGTATATAGCATGTAGAGCAATGCAAGTTGGATGATGATGTGTGAGAACTTCCAGATTGTGGAAACTATAATCTGATTTAGGAGATGGTGGGAGAGATTCATCTGAAAACGTATCACTGTCTTCTGAATGTGAGGTGCTTCCATTGGCAACATAAGTTATTAAATCACTATGTGATGACAAAGATTCAGAAGGAACGCCATCACCAAAATCAAAGTCACAGTGTTTACCACGAGTAGTTCCTTGACAAATAATGTTGGAAGAAGATTGACCAGAAGAAATATATGACTGATAGCATGGATTATGTTGCTCCTCAGAATGAATGGTAAGAGTATTTGTGGAATAAAACTCCACCTATAAAGGAAACTTATAAGGATCAAGTTCTATCAACTTAAGGTCAAGGTAAAATCTGAAACTGGACTCATCATTAATTTTAACAGGATGAGGGGAACCTTCAACAAAATAGGAGAGTATGAATTTATGATGGGGTCTACACTGAAGAAGCATCTTCGTAAACATTGCAATAAACGAATCATATGTTGCAAGAGAGCGGACATGAATAGCATACGTATCTGTATGATTAAACTTAAAGTCAGAAGACCAGCTACCATCCAACTTCAGCATAACAAATACAACAACATCCATCAAACTGAAAATACATATATACAAAAGGAGACAAAAGTAAGCACAAGACAGAGAAAACATGGCAGTCAATATATAAAAATGACAACGATAAAAAAAGACAATAAAAATATGGCAATAACTAAACATAAACAAACATAAAACCTCATTCAGTGGACATTACAATTCAGAAAATAAACACACATGAAAACAATGCCAAAGACAAAACAACAAAACAATAATGAATAACAAATCAAAAACGCAGAAGAAATTATCAAATTCAATAAAAAAACTACAAATCAGCTGTTGATTACATCGAAAAATAAATTAAAAAATAAGTGTAATACATGAACAATTACAAATTAATGATTGAATTAAGCTTAAATATTAAAAAATAAATGATTGAATTACGTACCTGGAAATTTGAGGTCTAATTGAACTAATGTCGGATTGTGCGCTATCAAGGTCGATGAACAACGACGAACGGTGAAGAAGAAAAAACAGAACTAATCACGCGAAGGAGAAGAGAGAAATAGCTTCCTAAAACGAAAACGAAAAAAACGAAAAGGGAGAAGGTAGTTAATCGAATGATGGCGGAAACGATCATTAAACATTTATTAAACAAGGGTATAATAGACATTTGACAAACAAATAAAATAATAATAGGACTAAGAGAGTCCTAAATAAGGAAATATTAAGCACTAGTCCTATGTTGGAGTTTACGAATTAATTAAGTCCCACTCAGAGCAAAAAAATCTAAAAAATATTTCTCAAAATATACTGGAGTTATCATATGTAGTCATTGCCTAAATAATTGTACCATTATGCAATGAGAACCTTTGAACATGAGGGAGGTGATAACATTTAATTTCGCACGCTGATTTATGTAATAATAAAAATAAGTGCGGTTGAAGATGCTTTTCTGTCTGAACGGGGAAGTTGGATATGGCATACCTGTTTGTTGGGATATGAGAATTTTTAGTAAAAAAATAAGAGTGACATGTAGCATAGTAGGGTTGCACAGAAATTCTCTGAACCCGCAAGACCCGTCCGCTCCGACCCTATCTGGCTGACTTTAGTCGGTTATTTGGCCCATAAAAAATGTTGTATTTTTTTAAACACTTACATTTGGGTAGGGTTGTAGGATTCCCATGAAAACCCCAATAACCCCCAACCCGCCCGCGTAAAATAATACTCGTAAGTTGTACTTGCGCGCATATTCTGCTTTAGATTTTTTGTTCTCTGGTACTATATTTCCCCATTCCCTTCTCATCAGTGCTTTCAAACTTTAATTTCCTTCGCCTCTTTGATTCTCAAATAATTAATATGAAAGCTTCAATCTTCATAAATGGCTAACCCACTCAGTCTATTTATATGGGTCCAACAGACCTAATGTTTCATCATCTTTGTCTGACAATCAAGAAGTCAAGATCCTTCAAAAAGAGTTGATCAGTTGAGCTACAAAACATGTCTACTTTGTTAATACAACACTTAATTGGTTTACAGTTTTATTCTTTTGTTAAGTTCTCATTTATTTCACATAATTCAAGATTTTTTTTCTTTCTTTGTATAGATAAATGGATTCACTTGATGTGTCTCTGATGGAGTTTTATTCTTTTCTTTAGTTTTCATTTATTTCATATAATTCAGAAATTTCTTTCTTTCTTTGTATAGATCAATGGATTCACTTGATGTGTCTCTGATTCAATTAATTTAATCTTAGAAACACTAGACACCTCCAGCCCTACAAATCTTACCACTCGGAGAATCAACCTCGCGTGCTTTCATCTCATGTCTCACGCACTTTCCGTGCATGTCGCGTGTGCTTTCCGCGCATGTCGCATGTGCTTTCCGTGAAGCCTCAATTTCTAACTTCTACATTTGCTCCGACTTTTCCATGACCGGACCCGTTATTCCCCCCAAACACTTAACGAAACTTAATGAAGATACCTAGGAATTTCCCTAACACCAAAGTAATTATTTGTTTTAATTGTAAATCTTTTATTTAACTTTTTAAATATTTTTTTAGGAAACACATTTAAGATCCTTCCCAAAGTTAAATACATATTTATTTTATGTTTTAAATATTTGAGGTATCAAAGTTTACATTTCACAAATGTTGAAGGTATATATATGTAACATGAATTTCATTCACTGATCCTTCCCAAAGTTAAATACATATTTATTTTCCAGTCTAGAAAATTATTTATTTACAATTTCATAAAAAGCTTCCTGCATATCTACATTACTTATTTTTTAAATATCTTTCTAATACATTACATTATCCAACCAAATCGCAACCCAAAAGCCTACAATTCCATCTCCGCCCAAAATCCCAAACCTTAGACTATAAAACACTCACCCAACTCCCAATCCTATCTACGCCGAATAAGTGTAATCTACTCAACCCCCGCTTCCAATCATTCTTCTCTCACCTTTGAAAGATATCCACCTTCAACTTATCATTCCTCAACCTCATCAATCGTCGTTCAGGACCTAAGCCCTCACCATCGATCAGAAAGTAGTTTGTTCATCATCGATCGTCGCTCAACACCTTTACTCATCGATGGTCGACGAGCAACTTTGCCAAATTCGGTGTTTCAATGGATTTTAAAGATTTTGAAAAGTTTTCTCTTAGGGCATCTCCAACAGTGAAGTGCATTGCACTTTCACATCAACAAATGCATTATTAAAATTGAAATCTACTCTCCAATGCAAAATAATATGAATGCATTGATGGATAGTGTACTCGGGGGGTAGCTTATCCGAGGGGTTACTGCGGGGAGTAACTAGAGAGAAGTCAGAGCAAATAAGTAAGAGAGAGAAAGTATTCGATTATGTGAACTCGTGTTTTACAATCGAGAAATGGGCTGCTATTTATAGTAGCAATAAATGCTAGATAGGGACACGTGTCAACAATCTGGTGGTCGAGGGGTCACCTCAACTGGGGTGGCACTGGCACTCGCATGTGGCCGCATTAAATGCGGTGGTTGGATGCGACGTTTGTACTTGGTACGTTGATCCAGCGCATGTGGATGGGAGATTCTGTCGAGGAGGATGCCTTCGGCTGTAGATGACAGTCCGAAGGCTCTGCGTACCGGGGGGCCTCATAGTGCTGAGGGCTCCAATTGCCGAAGGCTTGGTTTTCAAGCCTTGTTCTCCTGTGATGTTTCTGAGCTCAAATCCGTAAATGGTAGCCTTCGGCCATGGCACCAAAGGCACCCCACATGCGTATTGTTGGCTGCTTAGAGCTTCATTCTGATAGGCTTGGCCCGTTTTGGGCCTGTTGGGCCTAAGTGCAATAGTGGTAGTATGTGGGCCGGGGGTCCTTGGGCCATATACTCCATCAGGAGTCCCTCACTCCTTTTGCCGAAAGGTACTTGAGGGAAAAGGAATTGTGTTGGTGCCGGTGTTTGGTTTGTTGTAGTTTGTAAACCTGTGAGAGATTTGCGTTTGCACGCGATTTTGCCGGGGGCAGTCCTTCAGTCCCCCACATTTTGGGACTGAAGGATGTTGATGCTTTGTGAGAATTTTTAGCATTTTGTGATTTTCCCGGAGGGGTTCTCCAGTCCCCCACTCCTTGAGTCACATGTAATGTGGTGAAGAGGAGTATAGCAGTGCCTGTGCTCAGCTTGTGGCCGAGGGCTTGATTCTTTTC